ACGTGTGCGTCGTTGCGCGGGGTCCTGGCAACGGACAGAAACGAGGAAGACGACGATGGACAGGCGGGAAACCTCCAGCAGACAGCCGACGCGCGTCATTGACTACTCCACTCTGCAACTTCTCCTTGTAGCAGCCCTCCGCCACGTTGTCAACCTGTCGGAGATCCTCCCATGTCCCTCCCGTCCTTCTCCTCATCCACCATCTCGGCTTGCCCGCGGGATCACACATAATGCCATGGCGCTGCAGAATTGCACAATGGATTTTGATAACGACACATCGGGTGCATCCATCACTTGTTGCATCAACTGCCTCTGCCTGCAAATGAGCAATCTCATCCTCAGGCGAGTTGTTGTTCTCTCAATGTGATAACGCATGGTGATGATTGACATAGCTGCGACCACCATGTTTCTCTCCAATGTCGTTAATGCCTTCACACCACTTGGGAGCTCTCGTTCCATCGTCAGGACTTGTAATGCGCAAGCACCCACCACTCGTCCGCCGGCCGGTGCCCTCGCTGCACCTTCTGCACGTCGATGGGTACCGCGCTCGCACTCTCCACATTTCATGGAAAGGTTACATTCGTGCTAAGCTGTGACGGCCCGAAGAGCATGCGGAACATGAAGGCGACGTCGCAGTAGAGAACTGTCACGCATACACGCTACGTCGCCCAAAATTCCAATGTCATCCTAAAGCCATGGCCGCCATCACTCCTCCGCACAGACGTTTCGCCCCAGTCTCCAGTCCAGCTGCCAGGACGCTTCATGCACTGATGTGTCACAACGGAGGGTTCGAAATTTGAAATTGAAACGGGGATGTTGGCACCCTTTTTTTTCGTCAGCCCGGTAGGCCTCCCCGCCGCTGCCACTGGACATCGCCCGAGGATGCACTGACATCCCAGCACGATGATGAACGTCCACCCCCGCGGCCTCGTGCATGCGTATGAAATTGGCCGCTGGAGACCTCCAAGGGTTTTCCTTGGGACCCATTGAATTAGGACGCGGTGTAACCATGACACCGAAAACCGGAAAATTTCCCAAGGACTTCATCCTAATTCCTGAGGATTTTCCAAGGAGGGTCTAGCGAGGCTGTGAATGCCATCAGATACATTTAAGGCATAGAGGTAGTGTGAGTACCCCGTGAGATTTGCCCTGAGCTTTCGACTGCAGGTTCAGAATTTCTCGCCCTCCTAAGAAGCTTTCTCGAAAAAAAAGAACAAAAAAAAACAAACCACATCGTATGTGCTGCTTGGTGCTGTGGTTCGAAGACAGAATGGGAATGTCCCCCCAGCATACCCTGAGGAAAGCCTGAGAGGAGCCATCCTTTGGATTTTGTGGACATTGCAGAACTCGGCAGTTAGGACGGGGGAAAGATTGACCCCACCCATGATTCGTGCAGAAGTGAAATTCTCTATTAAACAGATGGTTGCCACGGAATCAAAAGCTCTCAAGCCTGAAGTGAATTGAGGGACATCTGTCAAAATTGGAACAAGGGATACCCGTCGAAACCTCTGCGGAAGTTTCTACGACACTGGGATGGATTTCCGGACCTGCTTCAAGTTCAGGAAAGGCAACAGCAACCGCCAGAAATGACATTTTATGATTTTCATCCTTCTTTCTTTGACTGCACCCTTATGAATGAGATTTGCTTTTGGGTTTACTTTCTTTCTTTTGTTTTCCTTTTTGTTTAAATTTTTTGTTTAATTTGGTGTTGGACATTTTGTGAGCTAGGTTTGCTTTTTCGGTACAGTTTACTGCTTAGTTGCTTATACAATTGTTTGCTTGCTGCTTTTCGATGGTAACTTGAGGATAGGCATGTCGTTAACAGGTCATCAGTTCAAGACCTTGTGGTATCAGATGACCACCATAGCACTACCTTCTTCCCTCAAATAGAACATACGGTCATTATAGCTGTATTTAGACTGAAAGATACCCCAGATACAGCTATAATTACCATAGGTTGTATTCGGGGGAAGAAGGTAGGGCTACCCTCTCAAAAACAAAAAGAGGCTCGCCTTCACTGAGAACAGGTGATGGACATCTGGACAAACTGAGGTACACCCATTTTCCTCTTTTTTAATGCAAAAAAGAAGGGGGAATTTTCAATATGCCCCTGAAAGTTCCATTTATTTACGGCGTGCCCCCTCTGATGGCGAACTTACCCTGGTGCGCCCCTCTGACAACGATTGAAGTTTTTGGCAACATTTGGGGCTGAAATACGTTCAATATGCCCCTACTGGCACCGGTTCCAAATTTCCAGTATGCCCCGGTACCTCCCCTCCCAGAGTCAGGGAATGGCTGCAAGTGCCACCAATGGCTACAGGGGCATGCTGGAAAGTTGCTCCCCTCACTGACAGGGGCCTGCAGGGAAAGTTCCGAGGCCGCAAGGGCATGACAGGGTAAATCGGCCGTTGGAGGGGCACGCTGCAAATAAATCTGTCGTTCAGGGGCATATCGAAAATCCTCCCCCCCCCCCCCCCAGCACAACAAAAAAAAGCTCCTTGCAGCCCTGGCTGCATGTCCATTCCAGGGAGTGTCAGTCCGGTTCCTATTTTGGTAAGTGGAAAGAAACATAAACTGAACACTCACACGTCCTTCCATCCGGCCGAAGGACCCTGAGCAGCATTGGTTACTCAATTTGCATGGAGGACTGACTGTCAGCTTGCCCACTTCTACAAATCCTCTCAGCTGCAGCTGTGCAGCATACCAGGGGCCTTGTCCCACCGGCAAAGACAATTGGATTTAATTACTGAATCTGGACGTGTTTCGGGAGAGATGCAGAGAACTGTGAATGGTCTGCTTTTCTGTGTCTCTGCCCAAAGCACATCCAGATTGAATTTCAGGAATTAAACCCAATCCTCTTTGCTGCTGGGACCAGCTCCCAGGAGCTGTCAGATCTACCCTTAAAACAAGGTTCTAGAATTTTGCTCAGAGAAGTTGAAAGAACCCCTATTCTCTTGAGCCTGAGCCTGTCCCAAGCAACTAGCTGGACCCATCTGTAATCTGGGCTCAATTTGATTTCTTTCTTTTTCCTTTTTTTTTTTGTTTGTTGGGGTGGGGGATATTTTGATATTTTGATTTTTTTTTTTTTTTTTTTTTTTTTTTTTTTTTTCCCCCCCCCCAAGTCTTGATATTACCAATAATCAGATTGAGGCCCGGGTCCTCACAATCTACCCGCAGTGATCAAACCGAAAACTGCTGACAACCGGGCTCTCAAATAGTTATGATGATGACCCTGATGATACTGATGATACCACAGATAATGATGCTAGATTCAAATATATGAAAAAATATAAAAGATTATGCTATATCAGCTATTCTGGCATCTTAATCCTAGAACAACTCCTAGCCCTCCCTGCACCAGAACACTGTACCTCAGAGACAAAACCAACCTACCCAACGTTAACCTTAGCTGATCTCTTCTCGCCACCTTGAAGGATGTCAAATAACAGGAAGGATGTCAATTAAGGGGGAAAAAAAAAGAAAAAGAAAAGAAAGAGGATGGATGTGAATGATTATGTGTAAAGGATCACTCCTACACAATGGAATTAAGGAATTCAAATCATTTCAAAGATTCTGCTTTGCTGGCCTCTTCTGAAATAACTTACGCTCTATTGAATGCTCCCTGTATTGTTAGGCGGCTTAGCCTTTATTTCTTCTCCCAATCTCTCTCTCTCTCTCTCTCTCTCTCTCTCTCTCTCTCTCTCTCTCTCTCTCTCTCTCNATCGGTGATCATGAAGAAGTGCGCGCGTACAGGGCGCGCGCCCGTGGGTTTGGCGAAAGGGCGAGCTCCCATGGCGGTTCAAATCATCGCTTTCCTAGTCCTTCGTCACGGTGGCTCGAATGTAAGTGCGCCACCTCTATTCGACTTCGGTTCCTTCACCAATCGTCTTGCGCCGTGGACTTGGGGGATGCGCGCGTGCACAGGGCGCGCGCGCGTGGTGCTCGACGTGGTACGGGCGATGGCGAGAGTGCTAACTCTAGCGATGGTTCCCGACGACACCCGCGCGGGGTCGAGCGGCAACGCGACGTGGGCACGGTGAAGCGCTACCCGAACGGCGCTCGCGCGTCAGCCGCATCAGTCCGGTTCCGCCGCCACGACACTCCCCACATAGCTCCGCCCGCCTCAGTCCGGTTCCTATTCCCCCGGCAAGTCAAAATTGATAACATCATGTTACAGACTCAAGCTTCCTACCGTCTGGCCGAAGGAAGCTTGACCAGCATTGATTACTCCTGTATGGGCGGATTGACTGGCAGCTTGCCCTGCCCTACCTTCTTAACCCGAAAAAAAGGTACGTATGTACGTTCTATTCGAACTACATCTGGAAATCGGGTTTTCAGAAATCGCTTGTTTTTCCCTGAATAGAACGTACGTTCGAATATAATGTACGTATGTTGTATTCGAATACCACGTACGTATGTTGTATTCAATTTTTTGGAACTTTGATTTTTCAAAAGTAATCAAAAAATCCGGAAAAAAAAAATGTTATACAACAATGCAATACAAACAACGTTTGCCTGAGGGTCTTATCGAAATTCACGAGAAAATTCGAGAAAAAAATAAAAACGAGGATGGAAATGTTTTTTACTGATTTTTTCAAAATTTCGATTTAAAAAAACCTTCAGTAAAAAATCCGAAAAAAACGTATGTTGTACAACATTGCAATGCAAACAACTTTTGTCCGAGGGCTGTCTCTTATACACATCTAGATGTGTATAAGAGACAGGTGTGTGTGTGTGTGGCTGTCAGAAGCCTCTCCCCTTGGATGAAATTGACGACTGCTGGCTTTAGTCTGTGCAACCCCTCAGAAACCTTTGAAGTTTGTTTGAAGGCCACCAGCACCCCTAGATATACAGTCAGTCTTTGAGTGAAACGAAGCTGGCAAATTTGAACCTTCCCGAACCCCATGGATAGTCTAACAACCCTCGAGTGTGAAATTTGCTCCTCGGAGTCTCCGTTTTTCTTATTTATTCATTTGTCTGTTTTGCTCTTTTCTTCACAGGTCCCACTGAAGCTGAGCTAGGAGAAAAGTGACTGGCTGCACATCTGTTTGAGGTAGACGACTTCCTCACAGCCGAGGGCGGTGAAGCAAAAACTTTAGGAATCGGAGGGGCAAAACAGGCAAGATGGGCGCTATCGAGGTGTTTGTATCCCAGAGGGCACGTAAGCGCAAGTTGGCGCTCATCGCAGCCGGAGCAGTTGCAGTGGCTGTCGTTCTGGTTGCAGTCGTGTGCTTGGCTGTCAGAATTCCTCGTCACGGATCGCACGGTCGCCACGAGGGCAATGACGCCTTACGGTCTGGGGAAGTGGTTTGTCGGCAGACTGAGTATGAGGCTGAATGTCTTGCTGCGATGAATGCAACCCTCCCAGAAGGCAGTGACAAATTGGGAGACGGCTCCAAGGCTCTGATCAGAGTCCTTGTCTATTCCCTGTCCGTCGCAAAGAACCTTATGAACATGACCAGCCTCGAGCTCACAACCCTAGCTAATTCCAACCAAACGTCCGACGACCCCGTCTACATTGCAGCATCCGAATGTACGGTCGGCCTGGACGAAGCTGTCGACAGAATGGACACGGCCATAGACCTTGTCATGGAAGGTAAGTTGTTCGACGCCCTGGAGGAACTCAACATGGTCGCCACTTTGAACACGGATTGCGCCGAAAGTCTTTACAGACTTAACGATACGTCGAAGCTTCCAGGGTCAATCAACACTGCCATTAACCTAGCGATGAACCTTGTGAATGCAATGAAGCTGACAGACATTGCGACAGTCACCTCCTCTCTTACGGCGTTCGGTCCGACAAATCGCCGTCTTGCGATGCGGCGACTTCTTGCCGAGAGTCAGGGACGAATCGACTATGTTGTCGCGAAAGATGGCTCTGGCCAATTTGACACAGTCCAAGCAGCACTGAACAAGGTTCCTTTGAGGCCCGAACGCGAGGAAGGTAAGCCGAGGGGTTGCAGGAGAGTGGTGATTCATGTGAAGGCGGGGAGATACGTCGAGAAGGCGGCTGTGAATAAGAACTCTTGCCCAGTAACTCTCATTGGCGACGGTAAGACGAACACAGTCATCAGCTGGAACGACACCATTCAAACAGTACGGGATGGCAAGCCGGTGGGCACATGGGGTTCGTACACCTTCTGGGCTCGCGGCGATGGCTTCATTGGCGTGAAAATCGGAGTCGAGAACACGGCTGGGATAGACAAATTCCAGGCAGTTGCGCTCCTCGCTCAGGGAAGGAAGATTGTGTTCATCGACAGTGGGTTCTCTGCCTTCCAAGACACTCTCTATGCGAGGGCCGGAAGCCAATACTATACTAAGTGTACCATAAAGGGGACGGTGGACATGATCTTTGGAAATGCTGCTGCCGTTTTCGACTCGTGCAACGTCACAGTGCGTCCCAAGAATGGGCAGACGACAGTCACAGCTCAGGGCCGGACGGACGAAAACCAGCGCACAGGTTTTGTGTTCCACTCCTGCCGAATCGACGCGGAGCGACTTCTGAACGGCACCTCAGTGACGTTTCTTGCAACAAACCAATACATGGTGGTTTACCTCGGCCGACCGTGGAGACCTTATGCCAGAGTTGTGTACATCGGTTGCTATCTTGGAACTATATCTCCCGAAGGGTATCTCAAGTGGGCGCTTACAGACGACCACAAAACGGCTGAGTACTACGAGTACAAGTGTTATGGCCCAGGAGCTAACAGATCGGACAGAGTGGGGTGGTCCCACACTCTGTCGGCCAAGGAAGCCGAGGAGTACACCGTCGAGAATTTCCTGGAATCTGGGGGCAAGAATCCATGGGTGGAGAGTCGTGTCGCCCGCTGGTGGGGGTAATATCCCTGTCTGAGTGTCTGCAAAGGTGTGAGGAGAGGGGAAGAACAGGGACATAGGAGTTGAGCGAGGACCCAATGAATGGCCAAGGAGGGTAGGTAGGATGGGCAACATCTATCCTTTCTTCTTTTTTTTTCTAACTGAAAGCTAGGCTAAGCATATAAGAACTTACAGAATCAAGGACAGGTGGAGAGTCATGTCACTTGCCGGTCGGGGTAAATCGGCTCTATCCCTGTCTGCAAAGGTGTGAGGGGAAGAGAAGAAAGGGGAGAAGATGAGAGTGTGAGCGTCAGAGCAAGGGCTCAGTGAATGGCCCAGGAGTCAGGACGGCAGGACGGGCAAGATCTATAATTGTCGTCGGTTTCCGCTTTTCGCAGAGAGAAACCTACTACGATAATTATAAGAACTCACAGAATCGGGATGGATAGATGGTGACGGAGGAGGATGTACAAGCATTGTAGATTCATGAAGACTGTGTTCTTCTATCTTGTGTTTCATTTCGTGACCGGTTGTCGATCTACCAAGATGCAGGATGTCTCATCCGAGTATTAAGGTCATAATTAACAGAGAGTGTGGCTTGTGGGCTACTATAAGCTCGCTCGCTCGCTCAGTCGCTGCCGAATTAATGGTCTTCCTCCCAGACGAACCACCGCGATAGTACCAACCCTCCTTCTTTTCAACTGACTCTTTTCTTCTTATACTTTCCCCCCTTTCTCTCCTCTTCCTGGTGGGATAGACCCTGAGGATCTTCCTTGCTTCGCTCCCCGTGTTCGTGTTTGTGTTCGTGTTTGTGTTCGTGTTCGTGTTCACACCTGTCATCCTCTTTACCTCCATCCATCATTTTGAGTGGACTCTGTTCCAATTGTTTGCTGTCGATTCCAATCCCCTCAAACCTGCTGCTCTGCTCATTTCTTCTGTGCCTTTTTTCCCCTTTCCTTTGCCTGTGCTAGGATTGTCAATAGAAATGAAGGGGTTCTGATCGGTCATTCATCATGGCTCTGAACTGACCATACTGGGTCATCCATGGCCTCAATTTGGTATCAGGATGCAGTTGGGGGGGTTTGTCCGGACATCGATTCATCGAACATGGCCCCGATTTGACCATACTGGGTCACCCCTGGCCTCATTTTGGTATCAGGATGCAGTTGGGCTTTCTGCAGTGGCTTTGTCTTTGACTCGGCCAAGTTGCGCCAACTGTCTCCGACTCTCCGCGGCGTATGGGACACCCTCACCTCACTAGGAATCCAGTCCTGGGCATGCATTGTGATTGAGCACAGACATATTTGACACAAATTGAATAAGAGGTTGTGTTCGGAAATCGGCATTGGGCCCATTTGGTTCCAGCTGGTGAAGACCAGGGCCCGGTCATCATGGCCTTAACGTTTGCCATCAGCGGTATAAGAACTTCGTTTCATGCACTTTTTTTGCAGAAAGCAAGCAGAGCAGCAACATTTTTCATTGCCAATCCTAGGCTTAGAGTTCAGTCTCTGTAGAAGCAGAAGCCGAGCTGAGAGTACGCCTGCGCAGCCCTCCAGGCGTGTAACAGTATATAAGTTAAAAGTTAATCCCAGATTCGCTAACTGGATGGTCACCTTCTTCAACTGAGTCATCATCCAGTGGTAAGCTCACCCTTTCCCAGACGGCGTACTAGTATCATGACTGCCTGGACCACCTTTCAGTAGGACTTGAGTAACAAGCCAGCTAGCAATCTCTCTCTCTCTCTCTCTCTCTCTCTCTCTCTCTCTCTCTCTCTCTCTCTCTC